CAGGTGTGGAGGTGGTATTTACCAGAGATACCTCTGTACCTGGATGGAAATAAACTGAGAATCTTCTGGGTCACTTGGAGTCCAGCAGCATAAAACATTTTGATAGGTTACTGATTTAAACTGAAATCTGGTGAACTCAGAAGGTGGTATTTGGGGGAAATTTTTTTTCAATAAATCATCCAGTTGGCTCAGTGACTAAGAAAATGGGGTGGAAGAACTTAATGCAAGTTTATGACAAGGGAACAAACAGAAGAGATTAATGCCTTTCCCGATACGCTTCAAAAGGTGATCAAACCATTCTTGATTGCAAAAGCAAAGCAATAAAGATGAGGCACAACGCTTTCCAGCTCCAAAAAATATCGCTGTTGCTTTTTCTGTTTTCTTGTGCCACCCTATGCCAAGTGGTTGGAGATAGGGGAAACTAATTTCATCTCTAGCACCTTCTCTGGACCTGTCTCAGGGTGCCCTGGACTCCCCAGCTCTCACTCCACGTTTTATGCTGCTCACTCAAACCTACACTAACAGATGACAGCACCAGGATCCAAATTCAACCTGTCATACCTGACCTTGATTTTGCAAATATGATATAAAAAACACACTTCTGTCTTCTTGAGGAACTAAGCCACTATCTTCTGTCCTCAAAACAACCTGGCTTTTCTTTTTCAAATCCTCCCCAGATTCCTGAGGAAGGGAGTAAAGGGGAGGCTGTGCTGGATCAACCCTTCATCCCCCCGACCTCCGCTTGCTTACGTTCTACTTCACCAAGTCTGCAGGTGTTTGTGCCTATGAGACCGTGAAAACTAGGAGGGCTCCCAGACCAGGACCTGAGTTTTCCTCTAGGCCTCCTGCAGCACCAGCAATACAGCCCGGCTGCTTTCAACGACAGAATCTTTATTCCTGGCCTTCAGTCCCAGCTGTGTTCTGGGTGACACATTTGCAGCTTGCTAAGGGAACAGAGGACAGGACCAGAAAAGCCGTGGGTCAAGCTGGAGTTCACTGGAAACTCTCCCTTTCCTTTCTGCTGCCAGCTGCTTCTGCGGGTACACCCCATTAAAGCTGATTCCCAGAATCAACTCCTACTTTTCCCTCTCCACTGGGCCCCAGTGCACCTGAGCATCACTCTAAGAGGCTAGCTAATCCTCTGAGCTTTTTCACTTGGCAGGCACCGAGACTTGCATGGTGAACTCTGGGAGACCAAAGAAAAAAATAGACTCATGAGATCCCCTCCCACCCCCACGTTTCCCACTTCATTGCACAAAGAGGCTCAACTCTCTCACTGCCTGGGATCTAGCCCCCTCTCAGAGTCCAAACCCTCAGGAAACTGGTGGCTGTGAGCTCCCTCTCCTTTGAGGTCTAAGTATTTCCAGCATCCAGGGCCCAGCATCCAGAGGCCAGGATCAGGATCCCAGACAAATGCTGGACAGACAAAGAAGATGCAAACAGGACGGTATTACCATGTTAATGGCCCAAGTTGAGGCCTCCTGAAGATGCTGGGAGAAGGGGGTTCTTTCATTTACTTTTTCCTTTCTTTCTTTCTTTTTCTTCTTCTTCTTTTTTTTTGCAAAAGGAGAATAGTTCTGCTTTCTATTTTACTACAACAATAGCATGGACCGGCTCCTTCAAGTGTTTAAAAAGCAGCCTGAGAAATCTCTAACCAGCCCCTCAGTCTCTCCAGCCTGCCGCTTTATTGTCCTTCCCATCCCAGGGAACAAAGCGGAGGGAAGGGTAGAAGGCCCCCAGTTGTTGACTGTTCTCAGCGTCCTAATCCTTGAGAAACGGTGAGAGAAATGGCCTGCGGAGCTGGTAAATCGAATTCTGCCCTCACCTTTTATTCCCTCCCTCTGCCTGTGCACTCCGGAGTTCTTCAGGTATTATAAAGTCTCCTGGCTAGCAGGCCAGTAGGCATCTGGGGGCTCGCTAAGGGATAAAAGGCCCTGAGGGATCATCCCCTACCCCCACGGGTAGCCTGTGTGGTTGGCTTGTTCCCACCATCCAGGCGGCTCTATTGAAGACCGAATGTCAGCCACAGTGGCTGGCAGCCTCCTTCTAGTTGGCAGCACAGGGGCTGCCCTGTCTGTTCCAAGTCCCTGGACATGGGCTGTACATCCCACCCAGAGCTCCAACTTCCATGCCAACTTGGGACTAACCGGCCAGTGCAACTCCTCATGTAAGGAAAGTTACTTGGCCTTGACTGGTGGTACCTTTCCAAGTTTTCCACTCAGGGACCAAGGGTTTCTTTGCTTTAAACCTGGGGAATTGTGCAGGTGTCTTTTAGCTCAGTCATCTGGCAAGAATGTGGGGGGGGATTCGTTTTGATGTTGCAGTATGTGGAGATCTCAAGGGTACAACTGGGCTGAGCTAAGGGAATGATGAGTACATCCTCTCCTAGGAGGATGGGACAAAGTGACGTGACAAGGCTGTTACAGATCCTGCAGGCTGGTTACAACGATCCACATCAGAAAAACGTTTTACACTGCAGCCCCAGACAAACTCATAATGTGTGCGCACATTCACACACAATCACACAGCAAATATTTCATGAAATGATAACAATACGTGTGATGCAACCTGACACTTTTTACTCTCTATTTCTTCTGTCTTCTCTCTCTCTCTCTCTCTGTCTTCAAATGCTGCTTGTGACTCATCAATTTCACTTCACGACCCACCAGTGGGTTGCGACAGTATTCAAAGCCTTGAATCAAGGTTAATATTTTCATTTTCCAGCTGACAAAATCAAGGCCCAGAGATTTTCTCAAAATGATACCAAAGCTGGAAGTAAAATCCAAAGGTTCTTTCTAATAAAGGAGGGACCTGTGTTTTCTGGGGACCTGCATTTTTTGTTTTCCCAAAGTCTTTGGGAGCACACAGCAAGAAAGCACGGCATACCAAGAGGTTTGTTTCAGGGGCTCTGCTGGTAAAAGCAGAGGTGTTCCACTGCTGCTGGGAAACCTCTGAGGGGGCTGTGTCGCTTGGGGAGTGGAACAGAGAAAACAACGTAGAAAGCAACCAGGTGAGGTTCTGAGGTCTCTTAACCAAGCATTTTACTTACCGGTTGTTGTTTTTGAAGCATAAGACATTTTCCTGAATTTCTCTCTCTCTTTCCTAGACACAGCTCCAGGTCAGCCTCCTTTAGTGATCCACTTTCTCCCCCGTTATCCAACTTTTTTGAAAAGTCATTCCTTGCAGTTTTTTAACCTCTACCAATTCATTGTATTTTCAGTCTCTACTTTCTGTAAATAACTGTCTTCCCTGTTAAAATCATGATCCTAGCAATGAGCATCAGAGAGACAACTCAGGGAATCTTGTTCCCACAGATGTTATCCCAAAAGTTATCCAAATTTGACCAGGCTTACAAATGCTATTTAACAAAATGCCCAGTGATCAGGGTATGTGTATCACATCAAGACTCTTGATACAGGTCATCTGAGTAAAACCAACTCTTTTCCTCCTGAAATTATCTTGTAATCTTCCATAGAATTTCTTGAAATCTTCATCTAAATTTGCTACTTACTCTACTTCTAATCTTTCAGGAAAGCCTTCAAAATTGAAGAGCTGAATTCCACACTGTGCACTGGGTAAATAAAAGTCCAGCTTTCTGATTGCTTATTAGCTATACACCCTTAGAGAGTATGTAACAAAGAGGCCTGCTGTTTGCTTTGCTTAATCTGGTCTTAAAATCTCTGTTCCTTTGTCAGAAAACACTATTTGCAATTGTAAAAAAAAATATTTACCAAGGAACTTGGATAGCATAAGTCAAAGGCTAAGAGCCAAAGGTCAGTAGTTCTCACCCCAAATTTTGTGGACCTGAGAGTTCCTGCTGTGGAGCTCAGCTACACCAAACAAACATGCAGCTTTGTGAGTCCATTAAGAAGCAGACATTTTAGAAGGGGAAGGAAAGGGGAAGGCTGCAGCCCATTCCTCAGTTAGAAGCATGGGCTGCCTAGCCTGCCCCACATAATCCCTGCTACATCTTTGCAATGCAATGTGTCTCTACAGGGAAATCACAGGAACTGCCCTGTTTCACAAACCTGGGAAAGATGCTTAACTTATAAAATCCTTCAGGATAGGACTTCTCCCATGGACAGCAGTGACAATATGCTCCTCTAGGGCTCAGGCCAGATGTTCACCTAAGCATCTCTGTGGGTGCGGTCTCCTGCCTGACAGTAGGGGAAAGATATGTATCCCGAGCACTTCTGTGGGGATCCTTCCTCATCCACAAAGCAGTTTTGGATATCTGATTTTGTGGGCTGACTCTTTTAACAGCACTTGAATTTACCCCTTCATGTGAATTGTTTTCTGGAAAGACCTGTAACTGGGTGCCTTTCCTAACCACCAGTGTATCTGGTATCTGGCATCTGGGAATGAACTACCATTATAGATCAGTGAGTTCTAGCCTCAGGGTGCTCGACCCTAAGCAAGAACTCAGCTCCAAGTCCTGGGTTCAGGTCACAAGGTGCAGGTTCTAAAGGTCAGGTCCTCCGCAGGAAGACCGTGTCAGGGCTTAAGCACAAGAAAACGAAACAAGAAAACCAGAAGGAGTGAGGGAGGCAGGGCTCAAGGAGCCATGACACTGCACCCCAGAGGCTGCCAGCCCAGGTGGCTCTTCAGCTTGTTAAGCAAGAAGACTCTGGGGTAGCACTGGCTCCTCACCTCCACACTGGTGTCATATCCATTGCCTACCACGCCATAGGATCTGCAAAGAGGAATGGGGTGGTAGCAATTCCGAGCCTTCTCGGTTTGATCCTCATGTTTTGATCGTCTCATTCTGTTATGAAATTCTGTAGGTCTCCCTCAGCCCTACCTCAATTTTCTCTGTTAAATTCTTGCCACAACTGCTGATCTCTTGCTCTCTTTAGGGTAAATATCACTGGCCAATGCATGTTGGCTTTTGATTCCATCCAGAGCCAGCTTCTGTCAGAACCATAGTAGTAATTACCACTAGCAATGGGTGGCACTGCGCATAATCAGCTTAAAGAAATAGCTTAATCTAAGGATCTTACCTTGAAGAACCAGGCCTTCCTCCTTGATGGTGTAGACAAATGAGGTGAAGGGAGCCAGTGGGGACTTGGCAATGAGAATCTGCACATAAAGCACATTTTTCTAGGGTTAGTCAAAGGATCAGGGATGGGCCTCTATTCACTCTCCGTCCCACTTTGAGACAAAGTGGTAACATATGACTGTAAGTCACAAGTCTTATTTAAAAAAAAATTTATAACCCAATGTTTAAATGAGTGTTATCCTTTCAAAGAGGTCATCTTAAAAGGCTACACATTTATTCCAACTTTTCTGCCATCAAATACCATTCTTGAATTAATTCTTTTAGAAATAAGTCTCATTATTTTATAACACATGCTTAAATTGCTGCCTTTCTGCCCCAAAATAAACCTAACTTGATGCTCTACTTTTATTTATAAATTTAGCTGTTTTACTAAAAAATATTCAAAGCTACATTTAAAAGATTTACTATCACTGCAAATATTCAAAATAACTTGCTAAAGACAAAGCAATAAAAGGTTTCTTTTTCGGCCCTGGTCCTTCACCAAATCCTTTACTATGTGACTACATTTTCTCTTACTTAAGGTGGAGAGCATTTTCCACAGCCCTTGACTGTGGATTTGGGCACGTGACTTGCCAGGTTGCACGACACAGGTTGTGCCGGTTCCCAGTCAAGGCCTCAAAAAGCCTCAAGTATTTCTAGTTGTTCTCTTAATGTTTGTGCCATCATCAGAGAAAAATATGTCCATGCTAGTCTGCTACCTCAGAAGGAAGACAATAGATACCTGAAACAGCTGGCCAGGAAGGCTCAGGCTAAGGAGTTGACCCCCAGAGACCCACATATACACAAGTTAAATATTGCTGTATGCCTCTGAGATTTTGGTGGTGGTGTCATGAAGCATTATTACAGCAAGAGTTAACTGATATACCAGCCAAAATTTCAAAAATGTTTTCAGCAATGGCATTCTGCTAAGAGGACACCTATTTTAAAGGAGATGGTTATTTGGTCATTTAAAAACCAGTATAATTAGGCCATTATCATATCTCATATGGCTCTACAGAACCTCTAACAATTGGTGGATTGTTTTATTATAGTATTTCTACTGAAGGAAGATTAACATCAGTTTCCTGTTTTACACATGAAAACATTATCAGAAACAGGGACAGTTTGAACTCTGAACCATGTAGGTAATCAGGGAGGCAAGAGAGAAGGAAGAAACAATTTCAAATAATCAAAGGGCGTAACTATAATATCTTGACTGTCTCAATTCAACAAATATGTACTGTCAACTATGAGAAGTGGTGGGGAAATGTGATGAAAAGATCGCAGGTTTTAGTGATAGGCTTGGCATCCAGCTCTTGCACTCATCAGCTAGGAGCCTACGGCAAAGCCCACAATTTTCCTCTGGTAGCCATTCCCCTTCTTCCCTTTAGTAAAGAGCTCCCCAACTTTCCACATTTCTCTGCTTCTTTTGCAACTAGGTGTGGCTATGGGACTAAGCTTTGACTAGCAGAATGTGAGTACAAATCACAGGTAGAACTTCTGGATTACATTTTCATGAGAAAACTGCTAAATAAATAACTTGCTAAAGGCAAAGCAATCGAAGGTTTCTTTGTTAGCCCTGGTCCTTCACCAAATCCTTTACTATGTGACTACATTTTCTCTTACTTAAGGTGGAGAGCATTTACTTAAGGTGGAGCGCCCTTCACTTTCCCTTTCACCCTTCCCAAGACAGGACCCAGCTCCAAGCACAGGGGTGTGGACAACACCCTGGGGATGACAAAGCAGAATGAGAGAGGGAAGCTGGGTGGCTTCAGAGAACATTAGTGTCTCCTACCCGGGGTCACAGTCCTCTCAGGACAGAGCCACTTGTCTCTACCACTGTATTTTGGTATCTTTGTTACTACAGTGCAGCCTGAACTCTAAAACCAAAACTGTGACCCTGGACAACCTAAACTATTTAAGTCTCAGTTTCCCCACATGTAAAATGGTAACAAAAATACCTTCCTAAGTGGGATTATTATAAGGATTAAATTAAGTATACAAAACGCCTGTCACTGTATCAAACACAAAATAAGTTCCTAATAAATAATAGGAACATTTTCAACTAACCCATCACATATGCTTCCCAAGTACCCCTTCACCCTCACTCACCAAACAACAATATACTTGGCTTCTACCAGAAGGAAGTCTCCAGTTGAATTTCAGTAATTTTTACAAGTGTTCTAAAGTTATTTGGATAAACTAGTTCAACATTCTCAGAACCAATGAGAAGGAAGTATAGGTGGGCACTTACACTTTCATGTCAAAAATATCTTATTTGAAAATTAAGGTGGATCCTGGATCCCTTTCTGCCTGAGATAGTTTGGAGACAGTTCAATGTGAATTTTAAGAATACCCCTTAGAAGGGGAATGGCATGGTAGAAGAAAAGACTTGGTTCTTGGTTTTAATGTGAGTTTGCCTCACCGGTGGGTCTGCTGACCTACACATTCCGATTCTGTAGGTTTTGAGTGGAGCCTGGGAGAGTCTGCATTTCTAACAGGCTCCCAAGAGACACTCATGCTGTGGTTCACAGACTACATTTTGAGTAGCCAGATTCTAGGCAATTAGCCTGATTGAAGAGTCTAAGACAGAGAGGCGAGAGATGGGAGCTGTGGGGCCAGTTAGGGGGTGACTCCAATAAATCAGTGATGAGATGATAAGGGCATAAACTACAGCTGGGTCAGAATGAGGGGGGAAAAGGAAATAGATAAGAGAAACGTAAATCCTTCAGATCAAATAGCAGTAAAAATAAACTAAACATATCCCAAATCTCAGATCTTTGTTGTCTGTATGTAGCAACTAGACATGAAACCAAAAGGGCATAAATAACTAGCAATAAATAAAGTATCATGCCATATTTTTAAAAATATTACCATTTTTATTTTATGGACTGCAGAAGCTGAGACTCAGAAAAAAAGAATGCCATCTGAGCCGAAGCCTTCTGACTCTGTGGTGCTAACTCCACCTTCTAATAGCCACTCTGTGAACCCCAGCTAAGAGGATCTCACACCTGGAGGGGCCTCCCTGCAGGAAATCAGAGAGTTTGGACAGGTCACTGATTAATGCACTGTCCTTCTAGAGCAGAGTTTAAAATGAGTCATCAAAAGGATGATCCGTGTGCAGTTAGAAAAAGGAAGTGATAAGTTATGTCAGATGAATTCCATTTCCTTTCTTTGGAAAAGAACTTCCAGATTGATAGATCAGACGGCTATCACCAACACAAAATATCTGACTTCAGCAAAAAATGTGACAAACTCTCTTGATAGTCTTCTGGATAAAGTGAAGATAAGTTGAGTTGGATACTAATGTTACTAAGTGGACTTGTGAGTGACCAAAAGGTCAATAGTAACCTGGTGGGGGACAGCAATCTCTAGCAGAATGTACTGAATTCTAGCCTTGGTCTTACTGACTTGAATAAGATTGCTGATGTATTCAAATACATTCATACAACAAATATGAAATCCAGCAGGAAATGGAACTGACAAAAACTGTTGCTCTAATAGAGCTTATATTCTAAAGAAAGACAAGAAGTATAAAATAAATACAATTATATTATGTTCGATGAGTATACATGCAATGGATGAGAAGATAAAGAATATAGAAAGTGTACTGGATTGAAGGTGGGGGTGTCAATTTTGAATAGAGTATCATGAGATCTCACTGAAGAGGTGACATTTGGACTTATGAATCACGTAACTAAACCCACTGATGGAATGCTGAATTGATGGGAAGGTAACAGAAGACAAGGAGTTTAGAGAAAGAGTTCATATATTAGATTAGATAATCATGATATCAAAACAAATCTCAATTTGGTTGGAATGTTGGAACTAACCATACTCATTGTTTGGGATGCAATTTTATTTTAAAAAAATGAAAGGTCTTGTCCTTGAGAACAGAGCACCAATGATTCATTATGGAACAGGAGAAATAAGACTTAGTATTCAGAAAATGGAGTGTTGGTTAACTATAGTTCAATATTAGTCAGCTGTGAGATGTAAATTCTCAAGAATCTAGCATGTTCTCAGGTTATATCAATGGAGATACAGTATGTGGAACAAGGGAGGGGATAGTCCTGCTTTCCTCCTTATCCAGCAAACCATGCCTGATGCAATGTGTTTGGACTGGGGCCCAAATTCCAAAAGAAAAAAATGACAAAAAAGAAGGTAGTTGGATGCCCAAAGCAATCCATGCCCACAAACACTTCAGTGCCAACATCATGGTAAGAGGACTGAGGTGAAGATGCATATTGCTTTTGAGTTTTCTAATCTGAAGATTCTGTAATGTTATATACTAGTATTATATACTATTACATACTATGTGAAGATACATATTGCTTTTGAGTTTTCTAATCTGAAGATTCTGTAATGTTATATACTAGTATTACATACTATTACATACTATGCGAAGATGCATATTGCTTTTGAGTTTTCTAATCTGAAGATTTCTGTGATGTTATATACTAGTATTATATGCTATTATATACTATGTGAAGATGCATATTGCTTTTACTTTGAGTTTTATAACCTGAAGATTCTGTACTATTATACACTAGTGAGGGGAATTGTAAATTATATTTCAATATATTTCAGGAAAAAAAAGTGATGCTTTCCATGTATCTTTGTGGATATATATAGATTCCTCCCTTTTTAAAATCCAAATTAATGCCCCATGACCTTCTGCCATGCAAACTATAAACTATCCTCTTCTAAAGCAGACAACCCCCCAGCAGATAATTTAGGCTGTGCTAGTTCAGATGTTCAGCCATCCCATAAATCTGGGATGTTCTAATCATTGTCTGACTTAGGCGGTTTTCAAGTATCATTCAGTCTTTTCCAACACATGATGCCCTGCAGGGAGGCCTAGCTGCCTAATAAAACACCAGGGCCCTAGTGAAAAATTCTGATCACACTCAAACCTGTGTGCAGTGTGTGAAAGTTGGCTTTGGAACTCTGAGGGTTCACAGAAATATGTAACTGAGCAAGAGTGAGTGTAGACATATGTGGCTCAGAAAGCCTGGGCTTCATGTGGTAGGTATGTGGT